CTTGAAAGGGGTGCCACGTCTCTGCGTCAGATATTCTTCGGGGTCGGACGCATTTGACCCGACGCGGGAGGGCTTGCGGAATGAATGCAGACTTTGCCGCGTTCCCAACTGTAATCCCTTTCTCGCAGGGCGTGTCCATATCACCCCTTCGCCTTTCTTGCGGATGCCCTTCCGGGGAAGCTGCAACCACCCCGCACAGGAGAATCTTTTGCTGTTCAGGAGAGAGGACCTGAGTTTAGCGCATGCGCATCATACCTTGTACAACAATGAATCTCAGGCACCACTGGGAGGCAAATCTGCACGTCGCTGATCTCCATTGGTCTCAACGAGCGGACACCTACTCTCTTTTCTGTAAGCTTCCTGACACGACCTACAATCTCAGCCCCTTTCAGATATGCGATTGTCAAGCAGAAAAAATCGAGACGGAAGTTGTCTTTTACTTCAACGACCCAAGAGAGCCGCATTTATGAAATCACTTTGGGGACTGAACGGCAGATTGAATCGGGCCAAACTCGTGAAGTCCGTTGCCGAACTCAGCATGCGTCCTACGATGAGGTGGCCTCTCGTTTGCGTTCGAAGAGGGCCGCAACGTGGCTTTTCAATTCAGCGATCCTCAATTTTCTGTATTAGTACGATAACAATGTCGATCGCTTGATCAGAGCAGATTTGAGCTGATTCGTCTTCCAGTAGTAGGGGGTGCGTGGGATAGAGTGCACCTTTGAAGTGGTAGCGATCGTGCATCCATGTGCAGTCCTTTACAGATATCCGCCGACTCTTTGAGTTAGTGCTGCGATATGATTTTACCAAATTGATCTTCAGTAGATGAAATGTTCCGGTAGGGCTCGGTGGTGCGTCCAGATCGAAGGATGAACGGGCTCAACGATGACAATGTAGCTTGCATTCTTTTCGATTTCCGTAAGGTGCAGGGGGCTATTTGTTTGCCTTTGACATAAACAAACTCAAAACCTGTGGCCCAAACAACGTAAAAACGTTGTTCAAAGAAAATAAGCTTCGGATAGAAATCTTCAAGACTGCAAAGACCACATTGACATGGGGTGTCCAGCTAGATTCCTGTCGTTTATGAGGACCAACGAGGGTTCCGGATATCTTGATGCCCTACGCAATCTGTTTCGAAGAATGGGGTCGTCCAGAAACGTTAGTATTGTGAACGTACAATCAGAACCTCCTAATCAAGAACGGGGCTTTTGTACAGACGAGGGTAGTGTAGGTCCGGCGGACGGACCTCTAATTGGTCTGTGGCATTGGACATCTTTAATCTCTATCATAGTTCCAGTGGGGTCTGCCCGAAAACAATGAGGTAGATTTGGGAGTATCTGCAAAAAGACGAAAGCGCATCCTCCACCTACGAGTGCATGGTACTGGGTAACGTAGTTGTGCCTATTTAAGCTACTACATGCTTCCGTGCTGAAGTGCGCAGTCAGTTCACCTCACCAACCGCAGCCATACCTTTGTAAAGCAACTGCATCTCCGAAACGCAAGATGAGAACCTCCATTTCAGTCCTTCTCTTTGTGGCCCTCTTGACATTCGCAGCTGGAACTGACAACATTGAAGATGGAACCCTTGTCGCTCCCGCGGACACTGTTCGAGTCTCTGAAATGGAACTGATGACCGACGAAGATGTAGAAGACCTCGTGGGGGACATGAATCGGAATTCGATTCTCAAGCTCATGCGCATGTCTTCAACACTACCTGCCAGGTCTCTTCGCAACAGGCGTTTGTTACCGGTGGCTATGGAGACGTGCATGTTGATGAGGAGGACGGCTTTAGAGCTAGCGAGTCTTGCCGAGAAGGCTGGCAGCCGCAGTTTCTTTGGGCGCTTCCTGTTGCGCATTAGGATCATTATCATCTGGTGGGACTGGATTATCATCATCATTATCCGTAGGTTTAGGTAAGGTCTTCAGTTCGCAAAGACGTGGCCCAGAATCTCTTTCCTTTCTACGATAAGTAAACAATGCAAAACGACATCTGTGTCTTGGAGAAATATGTTGGCTTCGTCGATGCAGTTGCTTTTGGTGTACGGCGTGGGAATGATCTCTTCAGATTTTCGCCGGACACAAGAATGTGAGCTGATTCAGCTCGTTGTGCGACGAAATAATAGAAGGGGAACGAGGCCTGAAGCAGATAGTGTTTCCTTGGCTGACGGGATGGTTGGTTGTGCACTGTGCATGCCCTATTTAGCAGGTCTCATTTGGAACTGAAAAGGCGTAGAGGTGCGACTAGCGAAACTTGGTGTAGTTGCTGATTCGGAATCAGTGATGAGGTGGTTTGCCTTAGCCTCGACGGAGTTCATCTTGGGACCAGCATGCCACCTTCATGCGGTCCGGAAAGCGTAGAGAACAATAGAGTTGATTTGGCCTGCGGTTGGGTTGGCACAACCCGGAAACTTGAGGCCATAATGCTGTGCAAGTTGCATTTGATGCGGTCGAAAACATCGGTAAACTTTAGGTATGAGTTTGCACAAACAGAAGGTATAGTCCTGTTTGCTGAATTGAAAACACCGATGTTTCGACACTCCACGAAATAGCGAAAAGTTTCATGTTTACTTGAATCGCAAGTGACACGAATGAAGAGGAAACGAAAACCAATTCGCAGTCATCACCAGAGAAGAGTGAACAAATTGCGATGCGTCGATTATGATGCGCATGTTTGAATTGAGAAGTGTGCCCTTCTACAGTCGCATGGAAGAATCCCGAAAGACCTGTAATTCCCGGAACGCGTGGGACGGATGTTGTGGAAGACGTGGCAAGCATACTGTATGTTCTCGGGTTTGTGCAATTGCATATATTGTTGTGGACTGCTTCAATCTTTATTGTTTTCGTTTTCTAAAGTTTACATCACACAGTGACGTAGAATTAAATCTGCCTGAACACTTTTCTGTCATGAGGAAACAAATAGATTATAGCGAGTGTGTCTGATACGGGGCGATAAGACATATTGCGTTTAGTGTACGTACTGTAGTGGTTGTCGGGTGATCGATTAGATGAATAAGGCATCCGGTTGTGAAGAAAAACATATCGTAACCTGCCATCCGGTGCGAGGTGGGTGAACAGTGCAGATGCGCGCCCATATGCAGCTTTTGACACGGGAACTATAGAGAATGTAGGAATGATTTGATGTGAGGTCTTCGTTGTGGTACAGTATGGGGCATGGCTCAGTTTTGAGGGGAGGCGGCGACGGTGAGGAGTGACACCTGACGATACGATTGCAGATGGTTGTGTGGCAGTGTTGTGGGTTGTGGGTGCAATGGTGTATCTTCGAATGTGAATTTTAAAGAGGAGGCAATAGTGCGTCCCTAATGACAGCATGGTGGCTTCGGTGGTGGCGGGTGCGGGGCTAGGGTTGAGTGCGTTTCTGGGACTGCTATGTGTAGTTGCTTTGGTGAAAGGAACGGCAAGAGGCTTGTCACTATGAGTGGCTTTTGTGGGGAATAAAGCGTTTGACTTAGCCTTTTGTTGGGGTTTGGGTCTGCATAGCGAGTCGGCATAGACTTACACTTGCAGGTGAGGTTTCGTCTCTTCGTGTCAACGAAGGAATTGTTCTCTATGTCCATGACGAAGTTTATGAGCGCTGTACGCGTCCAAGTGGTTGTGTGGATATTAGAAAATGGGAGCAACGCAATACAGTGTTTAACAGCAGTCACAGTGTCAATATTGGGACCGGGAAAGCGGCCAGTGCTGCTTATTGGCGAGACGGACGTGCTCGCTAGACGGCAGAAAGCAGTGGATACTTGCTGCCATCACAATACGAGTCTTCTTTTCACTCCGCCGTTGCAATAACAGTGCGTTTCCATCGTATCAGCCCCGCATGTTCATGACCATGTGCGTAGCGACTGATGAAGCTATGAAGCAATTGTCAACCGAACGAGGTTGCGGTTGTTGGTTGAGCTGTAAGCCAGGAACAGTCTCTGTAATGAGGACACGGCACGTGTGTGCAGGACACGTGTATACAGTACGAACAGTGTACAGTACTGTACGGGATTCAGAAATGCTCAAGAGTCGCTCTGCGTGCAGAGCAACTGGGCCTGCGGCCATGTTGTTGCTTCTTCTTTAGCGGGCTGTCATGATAGCCATAGTCCGCCATACGTGTCCACGTAACACATGCACACACGCCGCTCGCCACGCGACGGCGGCGTCTGCCTCTTAGGGCGATCCGGCTTCGAGCGGACAATAAACGAGGTGTCGTTCCTTGCACCACACGGGCATTGCTTTTGGACACCCTCGTTAGACCAAAAGAAACGTCACGCGTTCAGGCACTCGCTCGTGGGATCTTCCCATCCTTGCCGCCTCAGTTACAAAACCGGCGTCGATGCTCGATGCTCGATGCTCGATTCACTACGCGCCGTCGCGTTGGTTTTCATGATCTAGTGCTGGAGAGCGTAGCAGGCGGTCGCACGGAAAGGGGGGGGAGGGACGGCTCTGTCAAGAGTCTTGACACTTGTCACAGGAAAATGTCAGCTTCCGTCTTGACTCTCAAGACGGAAGCTGACATTTTCATGTTGGGAAATTGGTGCTTTAGATTAGATCATGGAGATTAGATCCGGGTCTTCTTCATGGGTTGTGCAGTACTGTACAGGGAACTGTACTGCTATACTGTAATTAAAATTACTGTAATGGCAACGGGCGTTTTGCACTGCTGATGTCAGCAGCTAGCATGTGTCCTCTTGTCCCTTACTGGAGACTGCACGATATGTTCGGTTGTACGTTCTCGTGCGAGTTTGGCGTCTGATCTACCGTACGTGGCTCTCAAGCCGCTCAAGCAACGGCACGGAGGCAACCAATCTCATTCAAACAATCTCATTCAAACAATCTCATTCAAACACCACCCCACCTGCCCACCGGAAGCAACTCAGGGGAGGCAACCCACTCATTTGTTGTACCCTTGGTACCGTACAACGGTATCGTACAGTACGCAGCTGCGCAACAGAGCTACGCCGAGCTCTGTCGAGCTCGGCTGAGCTTCCCCTCCCCGCAACAACAAAGAACACAAACGGACAGTATGCCTCGACATACCTCATCCACTTTAATGCCCAACGCATACAAACAGCTACGTGCAGCGCAACCCTGCACTTCCTACTTGGGAATGGGCTGCGGGTTGGCAAAGAACCCCTCCGGATCGTACGTCCTCTTAATCTTTTTGAGCCTCTGCAAGCTCTTTCCCCAGTACATCTTCGCATACGACCCCCCAAGCTCCCTCTCCGAGTAATTCACATAAACCCCACTAGTAAACGGCGCCAAGTGCCTCCTCATCCACCCGTAAGCAAACATGCGATCTCCGAACGTCCCGCCCCCAATAATGTAGTGCGTGATTATCCTCGCCCCGCGGTGCGCGAACGCGTTATTCCGCCTCTTATTGATCGCGTTCCCGAACAAGTTCATCTCGCACACCACCCACGGAATGCTCCCCCTCCCGGGCCTCGCGCAGAACTGCGCATACTTCTGCCAGAACGCCCTGCCGGGCATCTTCCCTGCGCGCGCGCTAAGGAACGTCGACTGATATGTCCGCCCATTCGCCCCACCGCCGGACTTTCCACGCTGCCCGAGCATCGCCCGCTTCACATCCGCCGCCGCCTTCCGCCCCCACCCGCCCTCCGGCCCGAGGAACGCGTGCACGTCCAGCGCGCTCCTCGCCTTGCGCAGGAGCACCGTCTCCCTCCCGCCGACGTTGAAGAACGCCGCCCGCCCCAGCCGCCGCACGCACGCCTCCGTGCTCGCCACACTGTAGCACGCCCCGTAGCCGTACACCCCGCGTTCCCCGCCCTTGTCCAGGAACATCTCCACCCGGAACCACACGTCACCCCCCTCCTCCCCGTACCGCGCCCACTTCTCCAGCACCTCGCCCGCGCGCCCCAGCGGCCACCGGAACCGGAACGTCACCGCCGCGTCTAACGGCGCCGACTTGAGCATCCGCAGCGTAATCCCCGTCACAA